ATAGTCCAGTGAGGGTCTAGGGACCAGGGGTAGCTCTGCTCCATTTGTTCATTCAAGGATCTAGGTCCTTTCCATTATGTGGTATTGCTATATATGGCCTCTAAAATCATCACAGAATGGGAAGAGGGAATGCAGGGTGTATGGGAGATTTTTTAATGGCACACATTGCTTCTGCCTTCATTCCAGTGTTCAGAAATTGATCCCATGGCATCCGCTTAACTACAAGAAGCTGGGAAGTGTAGTTCTAATTCGGAAGGTCCTGTGCCCAGAAAGAGACATATAAATGTTGGCGTGTGTTGCCGATTCATTAGAAGTTTCTGCCACAGGCAGGGAGAATGGCTGTGCCTCTTGTAGAGGTCGAAGTGGTGTCCGTCCTGGACTGGGATGGGAGTGTGCTCTCTGAGAATGCCTTGAAGGAAGCTGATATGAGAAGACGTGTGTGTGGTGCACACCCGTGTGCTTTGTGGCTCAACAATCATTCCATTCTTTCCCATTCTCAAGGTCTTTCACTGGATAAGATCTTAATTCCTTTGTACCTTATCACCGAAATAATCTTGTGAATGTTTTGTCCTCTACTCTTTTCCCTCATCAAATCTAACTGCATATTACGGTCTAATCTTCCTAAGACTTGGCTTATTTCATGCAATCCCTGTTCAATAATAACAACAATATCAACAACAGCAGCAGTAATTTGTTGAATTACTATATTGAGCACTTTGACTGTAGTATCTCAATATCTCAACCTTTGCAATGAGCCTGTGATGTATCAGCATCATTCCCTGTGTACAGGTGGAGCGGCAGGAGTCCTGAGAGGTTCTAGCTGTTTAACACAGTAGCCACTAGTCATGTGCAGCTATTTAATTAAATTAAATCTAGATTAATTTAAATTACTTTAAACTAATTTAAATGAAATACAATAAAAAATTCAGTTCTGCCATCACACTAGTCACATATCAAGTATTCAATAGCCACCTGTGATTAGTGGCCACCATTGTGGAGGGTACAGATGTGGACTGTTTTCTTCCAGGCAGAAAGCCGATTGGATTGGGCAGCTGTGCGTTAGGGGCACTTGCCCAGGGTCACAGCAAATGGTGAAGCCGGGCCTCTCGCCCTACCTGAGTCTGCCACTCTGCAGGAGCTCTTTATTGCTTCCACAATTTTAAAAACGCTGGAGCCTGGCCTTAGCCTTCTACAACCTGGGCCAGTACTACTATTACATAATTATTTCTCTTTCTTTTCTTGCACAATCTCACCTTCCAGCACAGCAAGCTTGCTCACTGCTCTCCCACACTCCTAATGTGTCCACTCATAATATTTGTGCTCTCCTCCTCTGTCTGCTCAGCTAATGAATTCTCCCCTGATCTTTAGGTTCAGATAGCCGAAATAGCTCTTGAAGCAGTTTTGTCTCTTCCATTCTCACTGCTTCCGCCTGAACCAACTCTGAAGCCTCTCATCGTCTCTTGCCATGGCAACCTTCTGCTGCTACTAATTCTACTTCCTGACATTTATTGAGAACCTACCGTGTGCTAGGCACTCTTCCAACCAGTCCTCACAACACTTGGAAGTAGGTATTACCGCAGACTCCATTTTAAAGACATGGTAATTAAAGCACTGTGGAGTGAAATTTGTCCAACTCATCTCTCTGCCTCTAGTCTTTCACAGGCAGTTCGCCTTCACTCTATTACTCTTGCCATAGTTCTAAAACACAGAATTGTAACTTCTCTCCCCCAGCCCCGGGGCAGGGGAACAGCCTTCTTAACAGAGTATGCAAGGCCCTTTATGTCCAGAACCTTTCTAACCTCCAAACCCGCTACTCTACCTTCAAACTTGACATTCCAGGCACAAACGACTTACAGTCTCCCAAAGCCGCCACGTTATTTCTTCCCTCTGGGCCATCACACATGCGGTTCCCACTGCCTGGAACGCCCCGTCCATCCCGGCCAGCTCTGAAGCCATCCATGGCAATGCACTCCCGACCACCCAGCTTGCTCCCTCCTCCACAGGAAGAGCACTTACTCCCCACCAGCAGCTCCTAAAGGAGGGCTGGTGCTGAGCTCACAGCCTTAACATCACTTCTCATTAAAATACACACTCCAAGATTCAAATTTTAATAGGCAGGGGTGGGGTTGGTTTTTTTATTTTTTATTTTTAAAGAAGCTCCTAGGTTATTCTAGAGTGAGGTAAATGTGCTTAACACTGGTTTACATCCCTTGTTTGGCAATTCAGCACACCCTGTCTAGATTCCTCGTGTATAATTGCTTTTGTTCTTATTTTATTCTTACCTTCATTCACTCACACTCATCTATTCAACAAACATTTATTTATTTATTTATTTATTTATTTATTTATTTATTTATTTATTTTTTGAGACGGAGTTCCGCTGTTGTTGCCCAGACTGGAGTGCAATGGCACGATCTCGGCTCACTGCAACCTCCGCCTCCTGGGTTCAAGCAGTTCTCCTGCCTCAGCCTCCCGAGTAGCTGGGACTACAGGCACGCACCATCGTGCCCAGCTAATTTTTGTATTTTTAGTAGAGACGAGGTTTCACCTTGTTGACCAGGATGGTCTCGATCTCTTGACCTCGTGATCCACCCGCCTCAGCCTCCCAAAGTGCTGGGATTACAGGCTTGAGCCACCGCGCCCGGCCTCAACAAACATTTATTAAGTGGTTATTATATGCCAGACACCCTTTTAGGTGTTGGTGTGAACAAAACTGGCACTGTCCCTGCTCATGAAGTTTATGTTCCAGAGGGGGTGTGGTGGTGGGATAACGGCCCCCAAAGATGTCCACAACCTCATCCCAGCACCTGTGAATATGTCACCTTCCACGGCAAAGGGATTTATTTTGTTGACATGATGAAGTTCAGGATCTTGAGATGGGAGGTTATCCTGGACTATCCCTCAATCACAGGGGTCCTTACAAGGGAAAAGCAGGGAGTTAAGGGACGTGGGTAGCCTTTGCTCTAGAAGCTGGAAAAAGTGGCTGAGCACGGTGGGCTCATTGCCTGTAATCCCAGCACTTTGGGAGGCCGAGGTGGGCAGATCACCTGAGGTCAGAAGTTTGAGACCAGCCTGGCCAACATGGCAAAACCCTATCTTTACTAAAAATACAAAAATTAGCCGGACATGTGGTGGAAGCCTGTAATCCCAACTCCTCTGGAGGCTGAGGCAGGAGAACTGCCAGAACCCAGGAAGGCGGAGATTGCAGTGAGCTGAGATCACACCACTGCACTCCAGCCTGGGTGAGAGTGAGACTCCAACTCAAAACAAACAAACAAAACAAAACAAAGAAGCTGGAAAAGGCAACGAAACTGATTTTCCCCTGGAGCCTCCAGAAGCAAGGCAGCCCTGATGTCCCCTTGATTTTAGCCCAGTGAGACCATTATTTGGTCTCCTGACCTACAAAACTGTAAAATAATAAGTTTGTGTTGTTAAGTCAGTACATTTGTGGTAATTTGTTACAGCAGCAAAAACAAAAACAACAACAACGACAAACGTAATGCAAGGGGTATTGGTTGTGTTTTGTGGAGGTTTGTGATGGGCCTCCCCATGTGGATCTCAGTGCTTGTGGCAGAGCCTTGTTATTGTGCTGGGATTTTTCCTTCCAGCTCCCGGCTGGAAGCTGGGCTCACATGGGAGCTCAGTGCACTCCTGCTACAAATCTGTCTCTACCTTAGAGTGGTATGGTTCTGAGGGTCAGGATGATGTTCCAAAAGGGCTTGGGAGGATGAGGCTTGTGAGGATAAACGGAAAGGCGAGGTCAGTTGCAGTGGCTCAGGCCTGTAACTCCAGCACTTTGGGAGGCCAAGGTGGGAAGATAGCTTGAGGCCAGGAATTGGAGACCAGCCTGGGCAGCATAGGGAGACCCCATCTCTACAAAAACTAAATAACAAAAAATATTAGCCACACGTGGTGGCACACACCTGGTCGCTTGGAAGGCTGAAGAGAGAGCATTGCTTAAACCCAGGTGTTGGAGGATGCAGAGCTATGATGGCCCCACTACACTCCAACCTGGGCAACAGAGTGAGACTCTAGAAAAAAAGGCCAAACGCAGTGGTTCATGCGTGTAATCCCTGCACTTTGGGAGGCCAAGGCAGGCGGATTGCCTGAGGTCAGGAGTTCAAGACCAGTCTGGCCAACATGGTGAAAGCCTGTCTCTACTAAAAAATACAAAAAAAAATAGCCAGGCTTGGTGGTGGTGCCTGTAATCCCAGCTACTCCGGAGGCTGAGGCAGGGGAATTGTTTGAACCAGGAAAGTGGAGGTTGCAGTGAGCCAAGATAACAGCATTGCACACCACTGCACTCCAGCCTGGGCGAAAGAGCAAGGGTGTCTCAAAAATACAGATTTTAAAATGTAGGGATTTGTGGGGAGCTGTGTGGGATAGAGTGTTTGCAGTCTGGTGATGGTCACAGGGGTTCTCAGACTTTAGTGTGTGGAGGAATCTTCTGAGACATGATGGGAAGGAACCTGGTTGATAGAGGGATGAGTGGAAGGAATTCTATTCACATATTTATTAAGTTTTACATATTGGCCGGGCGCGGTGGCTCATGTCTGTAATCACAGCACTTTGGGAGGCCGAGTCGGGTGGATTACCTGAGGTCAGGAGTTCTAGGCCAGTCTGACCAACATGCTGAAAGCCCGCGTCTCTAAAAAATAAGAGATTAAAAAAATTTAAAAAGGAAAACAAAAAAAAGTTGTACATATTAATTTTTAACCAGAAATTTAAATGTAAACGAGAATACGCGTTTTGTTCAGAGGTAAAGATCTTTCATCCCCGCGGCTGGCTTGTATAAAGGCATATTCCCAGGCCCTTCCAAGGCCCAACTATGCTGACACGGCGGGTCTGAGGAGGAGCCCAGGAATCCGCCTTTTTAACAGGCATCCCCCAAACGGCCCGACAGCTTCGCAAAGCGGCGGTGGCGTCTGCGGTTCCGGGCGCGGGCGGCCTCCGGCCGGGGAGGGCGCTGTGCCGGCGGCGCGGGGGGCGGGCCGGGGGCGGGGCGCGGGGGGCGGGCCGGGGGCGGGGCGCGGGGCGCCGGCGGCTCCGGCGGCTCCGGCGGCTCCGGCTGGCGGCTCCGGGTCCTGCACCTGTGACTCTCGGCCGCGCTCCTCCCCTCGGCCCGCTCGGCGCTGCAGCCCCATGGCCCCGTCCCGGCTGCAGCTCGGCCTCCGCGCCGCCTACTCCGGCATCAGCTCCGTGGCCGGCTTCTCCATCTTCATCGTCTGGACGGTGGTCTACAGACAGCCGGGGACCGCGGCCATGGGAGGGCTCGCAGGTACCCCGGGCGCGGGGCGGCGTGGGGCGGGTGCGCGGCCGCGGGGCGGGCGTTGCCAGCTGCTCCAGGATGCTCCTCCCGAGCGGCGCTTCCCCGGGGAGCGGGTGGGGTGTTGACTCGAAAATGACGGTTGGCGGCCGAGGCCCCGCGCGGGCCCGGGCTCCTGGGCATTCCTGGGTGCCAACGGCCCGCCGCTGCCTCGGGCACAGACCCGCCGCGCGCGGGGGTTATCGGTCCCGGCACATTGCCTGTCGCCCTCCGCCCAGTTGCCCCACGACAGTGTCCCCTCCGCGCACCCGCGACGCTGGCCCCCTCCTTCCCCCAAACGCACACACGCGCGCGCAGATCCCTGCCCCGCCGGGCAGAGAAGGAAGAAGTGGGAAAGGAAGAGGGCTAGGGGTGGCTGAGGAAGAGCATCTGCCTCCTTCCAGTGCGGACCCCATACCCCGGAGAGCCCTCTACTGAGACCCACCGGGAGGACCGCGCTGGGGATCTCATAGAAACTGGACATTCTCTTTCCACCCACGTCGGTTCCTTTTTGCCACCCATCTTCTGTGGCTCCTCAACCAAGATCTGCCAAACCCCGCAGCCCAGCCGCCCCTTCTGTGCCCAGGGAGTGAGGGGAAGCATCGGCGCGGTAACAGAGGCTCTGGGCTGACCAGTGCTCCTTGCTGTGCACCTTTGGGCATGCAGTTTAACCTCTCTGTGCCATAGAATTGGTATGAAGATGAAAAATATTCTATTTTCTAACATTTTTAGATGCTTTATATGTGTCAGGTACTATCTTAAGCAACCTGCTTCCCTTATTTCATTTAATCCTTACATTAGTCTCACGAAGTAGGCATTATTATTGTGTCCATTTTACAGACAAGGAAACTGAGGTCTGAAGTTAAATAAATTGCTTACCCAATATTACACAGCTAAATGAAATAATATGTGTGGGAAAGGACTTTGGGAAGAAAATACGTGTAAGGATAATACTTTTACACATGATGATCATATTCCATTACTAAAATCCTCTGCCAAGAGAACTCTAAATGGAATAACTAAAAATAACTAATTTACTCACTGCCCCCAGGCTTGCTGAGAGCCATCCCTGGGTAGAGTCACAGCATGAGGCGGGGTTTCTTCCTTAGAAGACGGGCATACATAGCCCCACCCTACACAACGACAGCAAAGCGCTGGGTCACCACGAAGGAGGGTAGGCACCCTGGCTGGGGTGTCCCCTGCCTGCCCAGCTGCCTCACCACCTGTGGGCTCCTGAGGACAACTGGCCCATCTCCCTGCCACTTTTTTGTTTCTTATTGGCCCTGTTGCTTTCCCCTCTGGAAGGTGGTGTCACAGCCCCACCCATTGCCTTGCTAAGACCCAAAGCAAGAGATAGGATGAGGAGGGAGGGCCAGCCCTGGGATCCCAGCTGGGTGTGTTGAGTCCGGCCTGGTGAAAGTGGAGGTGAGCCCTACCTGGCCGTTTGACCCCCACCTGGGCAAGTTTCCTCATCTATTAGGAGTGGGAGGAGATGTCCCTGGATGATGTGTGACTTCCCTCCGGATCTGAATCTTGCAGTTTTGCCCACTCCCTGAATCTTCCATCTCCAACTGTCTACTAGAGGACTGTGGAAAAGGCCTTTCCTACACTCTAGGGAGTTGCCCGGGGTTTCCTTCTGACCCACCTCTACCCTCTCTCCCTCCCCACAGGCTTCCCTTGGCCTCTGAGGCAGGCCAGCTGTGGAGCTGCCTTCAGAGAGAGGCGCTAGGGCCACAGCCAGCTGAAGTAGGGTCCTGGCATCTCCCTGATGGTCTGATCTTTGACAGTGGCCGTGGAAGAGCCAAAACTGCTTGTTAGTGGTGGTGGATGATGGTGGCAGGGAGAGGGTTGCCAAGCCTGGGCCTCCCACCTTCCCCACCATGAGTGGGTTCCCAGAGGGTCTGTGACGAGTCAGCCTCTTCCTCTTTTGGCAGTAAAGTGTCAGCAGATTTAGTAACTTGTGAGCACCCTACTTCTGACTCAGCATTTTATAGCTCAGAATCTGCTGAGTCACCCAAGGGCAGCCCCAGAGTGTTCCTTCTCCCCTGGGTTGGACCAGGCATAGACTGATTGGGCATGCCAGTTTCTGAAGCAGGGTCATGGAGCCCACTGGGTCTGGTGCGCAGAGTGTTCATGGGTGGGGACACCCTCTCCCATCCTGATGAGTATCCTGGAAGAAGTGGCTTTGGAGAAAGGCAGTTGCAGAAGCAAGGCTGGTTTTCCTGGGGAGGTGGGCAGGTGTGGGTTGGATCTACCTGGTGTGACTTTGCTGTGGGAACCCTGGGGTAACACATAGACTCTTGCTCTAGGTTTAGTAGACTAAGGAAAGAGAAAAAGAAAAGTTGCTCCAGGAGTCTAAACAGCTCTATATTTTTCCCACGTGAGGTGTGAGCAAGAGCTCTGGGGCCCCAGGACTGTCTTCCTTCTAGGCAAGAGCAGAGGGCCTGACCTCAGCCCAGTGTTCCTCTTGTCTGCGTTTACCCTGTAGGATCTCCTGGGTATCTCCTGTCTCCTCACCTCCAGCGCAGCCACTGGGGTTGCTTTCACCGCCCTACCCTGTGCCTTCCTTGCCCTTAGCTTACTTATCGGCTGTGAGTCCAGAGGCCGAGCAAGGGCTCTGCTCCTTGAAACAGGTGGGGTGGAACAATGGTGTGGTCTGGTGAGCTTGTGGCCAGGTGCAGCTGGGGACCTGTTCGTTCCACCTGTTCGTTGCAAACCAGGCTTCCTGGAATACCCAAGTATGCTAGGGAAGGATACTAGGGAGGGACATTGCCTCCTGCCTGATGTTTGGAAGGGGACCAGGGAGGAGGCTCTACCTCCTTCAGTGACCCATTTGGGTAAGGCTAGTGGACAGCTCCCTTCCCAGGAGGGTGGTGGGAGCCAGGGCGGGTGGGATCAGGCCTGCCTCCAAAGTTGATGTGTGTTTTTCTGGAGGGGAGGCCTCTGTGCAGGGCCTGGAGCAGGGCTGAGGAAAGGTGAGAGGTGGGTAAAGTATGCCTGCTTATTAACAAACAACAGGGTCTGAAACACCCCAATGCCTGTCTTCCTCTCCCTCCTGCCCTTAGCCCTCCTTGGTATGTGCGTGTATATGGGGGTGGGAGTTTTGGGGAACTACTCGATCGTGACCAGTGGACTAAGATGGCATCTTCATGGGCCCCTATTTCAGCATTTCCTAACCCAGAAACTGCTGAGTCACAGAGGATTTGTTCTGACCTTATTTTTCTCCTAAGCTGGCTTCTAGAATCTTTGAGTAGGAAAGGATCTTAGAGCTCAACTTCCCCAATCCCTCTGTGGCACGAGGAGACACGGCAAGCAGACCTGTTCCAGACAGGTGCCCATCAGACTATTCCTTGAGTGTGCTCAGTGATAGCAAGCCTTGTTCCCAGGGCCCTTTAAGAAACCAAACAGCTCCCTCAAATGAAAACATGGGATGCCTGTGAGGAGTGGGAGGGACTTCTGGGGAAGGTGGCTGGTATAAAATCCAGATCTTGTAGGATGTAAGAGGAAGCGGTGGGATGATTGTCCTGTCCACCTCTGACCCACTCCAGCATCCAGACTAGGACCACCCGGATCTCAGTGGGTGGGGGACCCAGGCCTCCAACTCCTGAAGAAGGGTGGAGGTGGGCAGGGGCACAGCTAGGAGAGTGTTTGGAGGATCAAACAGTGGCAGGGGCTGGGGGAAGCGGCAGGCTTGGTAGGCCTCCGCCCTCACTAGGGTGGAACCCTGAGCCCACCCATTTTTAGATGTGGAAACACCAAGGCTTTGGGACACAGCAGTGCCAGGCTCCCATTTTCTTTGCTTGGAGTCTCATGAATTTTTGTTCCTCACTGGACTGCCTGGGGACAGCCGAACTGGGACAGCCTCTGAGCTGGACTAGCTTCCCCTTGCCTTTTCCCCCTTTAAAAAAGTTATGAAATATTTTAGACATATAAAAAAGGATGGACGGTTTTACAAATACCCTTATACACATCACCCAGCTTAAGAAAACAGCATAGATAAAATAGTATACCTTCCCCACCCAGCCTAAGAAACAAAATAGCATAGATTTCCTCAAAGCACTGCCCTGCCCCACCACCCCATCAACTTCCCTTCCTTGTCTCCATTGCCAGAGAGAACCACTTTCCCCAACCAGATGCTTATCCTTCCTATGCACATTTGGTAAGTACTCTGCATGGTGTGTGTGCAGCCGCCTTTTGGAAAGGCCTCCCAACTCCTAGGATGCGGCAGCCTGAGTGGCCCATACCCTGTAGCCCAGCCGGCTGCGAGCCTGCAGCTGGCTCTGCCTCTTTCCTCATTCTTCCCTTGCTGGGACCCGCCACCCTGCCCGGAACCTTGCCAATGGAGTTGATATTTGTTCCACTCTTTGGGCTGCACCAGCAGGCACTGCCTGGCACAGAGGGTTGTTTTGTTTTGTATTGTATTGTATCAGCCGGGTAGCAGCTGGCATCCTAGGGGAAGTGCCCACCCAGGCGCAGAGGCCAGGCCCAGGAAAAGCTGGGGCAGGCGGGGGGATGGGGGGCGTGGCGTGCTGTGCCATTGCCACAAAATGGAGGGAGTAGCATGAGGTCTGGCCAAGAACAAGAAGGCCACTCAGGGGCTGGGTGACCCTGGGGTCTTCATGACTGGACCTCCCCATCCTGCAAGACCAACTCTGGCAGTTTGGAAAGAGCCCTGCCGCTCAAGAGCTTGGCTGCAGGCCTTGTGACCAGGTGGAGGAGGAGCATGGGGCAGGAGCAATGGCTTCCCTGCTCTGTGGCTCTCAGGGTAGACTGGCAAGTCCCCAGAAAGCAGGCTGGGCTGTAAAGGCTCAGACTTTCTGGTTCTCAGGATCCCTTTATTCTTTTGAAAAGTAGTGAAACTCCACGCAAATTTTATATATGTGAGTTATAGCTATTGATATATACCATATTAGAATTTAAAAGGGAACATTTTCAGCATTTTAAAGTAATACTAAAATAACATGAATTAACATTTTTGTGAGAGATACTCATGTTTCCCAAAACAAACAAAAAAATGAGAGAGAAGGGTAGAGTTTTGTATTTCTGCAGATTCCTCTAATGTTGGGCTTACTAGCAGGCAGCTCAGTCCCTTACCTGCTTCTGATACCACAGCCACCGAAAGGGAAAACTCCATTCTAGGAGGGAGTGAGTGACTAGACCATATTCTTGGAATACTTGGTCTTCTTATGCAAATAGGCCTGGCCTAGTGGACCTGCAGGGCCCTGGAGCACCTGGGGGATGGGCCCTGATGTGTCTCTCCTGCAGGGGTGCTGGCGCTGTGGGTCCTGGTGACGCACGTGATGTACATGCAGGATTACTGGAGGACCTGGCTCAAGGGGCTGCGCGGCTTCTTCTTCGTGGGCGTCCTCTTCTCAGCCGTCTCCATTGCTGCCTTCTGCACCTTCCTTGTGCTGGCCATCACCCGGCACCAGAGTGAGGGCGGGTCCCAGGGAAAGAGGGCATGGGATGGACAGCGGGGGGGCGGGGGATTTAAGCAGCAGACCCTGGGATTCCCATCCTGGTTCCACAGGTTACTTCCAAAGGGACTGGGTGGATCACTTAACCTCCCTGGGCTCAGGTTTTGTTATGGTTCAAGTAGGTAACACAAGTCCCTACCTCCCAAGTTGGGTGGATTCAATGAAACTGATGTGAAGTCTTTAGCTGTGCATAGCCCATGCAAGCACTTGTGATATTGGTACCCACTAGTCTCTGCCCTGCTCTGGGATGTGAGCGCCCTCTGGTGGCTATGGCAGGAAGTAACCAGAGGCCGTTCTTCCTGGAGTCTGATGCTAAAGCAGGTTGGAAGTGTCCTAGGGTACTTGTCACAAAAGCAGAGTGGATGATACAGACCTGTGATTGGCCAGCCCTTCCCTTCCCTAATCCCCATGGCCTCCTGCCTGAAAAGCCTAGAGTGCTCTAAAACGGTCCCCAACCCCCAGGCCATGGAACAGTAGTGGTCTGTGGCCTGTTAGGAACCAGGCCGCACAGCAGGTGAGGGGTGAGCAACCCTTCGCACCCGAGCTCTGCCTCTTGTCAGGTCAGCGGCGCGTATTAGATTCTCATAGAAGCGCGGACCCTGTGGTGAACTTCGCATGCAAGCGATCTAGATTGTGTGCTCCTGATGATCTAATGTCTGATCTAAGGTGAAACAGTTTCATCCCAAAACCATCCCCTCCAATTTTTCATGGAAAAATTGTGTTCTATGAAACCAGTCCCTGTTGCCAAAAAGATTGGGGACTGCGGCTCTAAACCTTTATTACACCGTCTTTCTGTAGGGTCAGTTCAGCTGCCGGGAGGTTGCAGGGATGTTGAGTGGGGAGGGTGGCCCTGGACTTGTGACTGGTGCAGGGGCCGAGGGCAGGGCCTGCTCAAGTCACTGTCGGTGCTTCTTCCCTGCAGGCCTCACAGACCCCACCAGCTACTACCTCTCCAGCGTCTGGAGCTTCATTTCCTTCAAGTGGGCCTTCCTGCTCAGCCTCTACGCCCACCGCTACCGGGCTGACTTTGCTGACATCAGCATCCTCAGTGATTTCTGACCCAGGGGGTGAGGTCTCTGCACCCTGAGGGGCTTAGGACCTGGACTCAGCCTCTGAGACGTTGGGAGGGGCTACTCCTACCCTCTGGGGGTCCCAGAACTGTGGCAGAGAATACACAGCAGGACCAGCGTGGTCTCCTAGGAAGCTGTCCCACCCATCCCCTTTGGGGGAGACCTGGGTGTGGTAGAGAGGGGATCCTGCCATGTTGCTCCTCATCGGCCTGGACAGAGGGCAGCTTTAGACCTTTTCAAATGGATCTGTTTTCTTTTTTCTTTTTTTTTTTTTTTTTGAGATGGAGTCTCACTCTGTCATCAGGCTGGAGTGCAGCAGCGCAATCTCAGCATCTCGGCTCACTGCAACCTCCACCTTCTGGGTTCAAGCAGTTCTCTCAGCCTCCTGAGTAGCTGGGATTACAGGCACCCACCACTATGCCCGGCTACTTTTTGTATTTTTAGTAGAGATGGGGTTTTGCCATGTTGGCCAGGCTGGTCTTAAACTCCTGACTTCAGGTGATCCACCTGCCTCAGCCCCCCTAAAGTGCTGGGAGTATAGGCGTGAGCCACCGTGCCCAGCCTGGATCTATTTTCTTAGCATGCAGTGAAGAATCTTTGTATGTAAGGCCAGGACAACAAAGTCAAGAGGTCAAGGGGTAGAGCCATGAGGCCTGGACCTATGCTGCAGGCAGGGGCTTTTGTCCCTGCTGCCCTAGGCACTCTCTCCCCAAGGCCAGGGTGGGGACCTGGGGAGGTCAGGTCAGGAATCTCTAGCAGAGACCGCTGAAGCCCCCATCCCATCACTGCTGCGAGCTGGTCTCCCATGAGTGTGCTAGAGCCAGATAGCCATGGCCCCCCACCCATCTCTCACTCACATACACAGGCATCCACACACCCCAGAGAATGACTTCTCAAATGAGGCCAGACTCAGGGTCACAGGGAATGTGCTCCTACCCCTGGAAGTGCTTTGGGGAAGGGGGCAACATGGTAGAGGCTGGAAGGAGCCCCCAAACCTGTGCCCATGCCCCTCCAGCCCTGCGTTTCCACTCTGCCTTCTCAGAGTACCCTCACTGCACGCAGACCACTGGCCAGGAGAGACCTCTCCCACTCCAGCCCCTCCACTGCCCTTCAACTAGAGCTTTCACCTTTTTACATCTCTCTTCTGAAGGACACAAATCTGCTTTTCTGCCCATACACTGGCCCAAGGGCTGACCTCACTCAGGAGGGAAGGGGCAGTTGTCACAAGGATGATTTGATATTAGGCTGCCATTTTACATGGTCTCCCCCTTCCCACCTGATGTGTCCTGCCCCTCAGCTCTTTGCCTTATCTGTGTCACTGTCACTTTAGCAAAAATACAGCGGCCATTTGTATCAGACAGCCTCTGGTGGTTACTTGGGAGGTGGGAATCTTGCGGGGACAGGTGGACATCAGGAGGACTGGGCAGGGAAGGAGTGATAGTGGCAGTTCTCTGGCTACCTGATTAAGCCATTTCCCTAGTTAAATTGTGCCCTGGAGGGCAGGGGACAGGGTCAGTGTCTCTGGGGCCAGAGGCCCTCTCTCTCTGGGCCTTCTGGCATGGGGTAACCACCAGCTCTGCTCTCCTTCTCCAGCTCTTCTCTCTCCAGCACACCCCACCATGGCAAGGATGCCCACAGGCACAGCTACAACCACCCTTGCAGGATTTGGTGTCCACACTTGAGAGTCCAGGCCAGATGGGAAAGGGATTAGCATCTCTTCCCTCACGCCCTGCCTGGCTGCCGGGAGCTTGGGCCAGGTCTATCTAAGGTAATGAGGTGCTCCTCTTCCTGCTGGAAAAACCAGGCCGCCTCAGAACCACAAAGTCAGGTGCTGCCAGCCTGGCGCCTTCCTTTATGCTTAGGCTGGGCGAGCTTGTCCAGGCCTGTGCCTCGCCCCTTCTCTCTTCTAGGTTCAGTGTATGCTTAATCAGGCATGGTGCATCAGAGCAGGAAGGAACCGTCAACAGTGTATACTTCTGGAGGCTTCTACTGATAAACAGAAGCCCCAGAAGATGATTTGACTTACCTGAGCTCCCAGCTGGGACTTAAACCCAAATGTGTCTGAGTCACAGCTCTTTGGGGATGCTGTGGTGAGCTGGGGCTGAGCTCCTGTATTCCCACCCCCCCACCCCACCCCACATCAGGCTGGGCTCTGTGGACTCAGCCCAGGGCTGCCTCCTCCTTGCCACCCCAAAGTGGAACAGCCAAGGTGTGTTCAGAATGGGTTCTTCCTACAGGGCAGGAAGGGCAGAGAGTTAGAGGGGGTGCAGCCCGGACCACTCTGGGCCCTCCTCCGGCACTGAGGCACTGACTCAGACCCACACTGTGCTGTGCCCTGCACACCCACCCGACCGCGTGCTGCTCACTTCTGGGGGGGGCCCTTTCACAGGCACTTTTAAAGCAAATAAAACATTTATTGTTCAGATTTTTTTCCATTTTTTTCCTTTTTACAAAAACATGCATACATACACAGGGTATGGTGGGTCCTAGGAAAGACACTCACACACACGCCTCACTCGCACACGTTCACACACCCTCCTCACTCACGTACACGCTCACACACATTTTCCTTCTTGGTCCCAGGCCTGGACCCCCAAAAGCCTTGAAGACTTTGCCAGAGCAGGCTCCCCTCCTCCATGTCTGTAATCTTCTCTCCCACCACTTCCCCCTCAGCCAGGCTAGTCCTGTATGGGGCAGGAGTCAGAGTGGTGGGGGGGATGCCCCAGAAACAGAGAAGGCTCCTGAAGGGGGAGTGGCTGAGGGGTCCTGGGGGTAAGCTGTGCTTCTGGGAGAGATGAAGGGTTTGGCACCATTGGATCAGGAAGCACAAGACTCCCAGAGCACCCGTCCACTACACCAGGGCATCAACAGGAGGTCCACGTAGGAGGCCTCTGGCAGGGGCAGGACAGATGGAGGGCTGCCGGTCTCGGCTATCAGGGAGCTTCACCTCAGTGCCCGGTGGCCAGGGGAAGCTTCCAGAGTCATCTGAGGAAGCAGGTGAGAAGGACTCCCACTGCACTCAGGGATATGGGACCTCTTGGCTCCCCACTCCCCCGCCAGCCCCTAGAGCCTAGGAAGGGCCACCCGGTCTGAGGCCAAGTTCACATTTCTGTGTGGAGCCTGGGGCTGTGTGCAAAGTCTGGGGTCTGCAGAGCCAGGAATAGTGGTTAAGGGTGAGTCCGACGGAGCCGGAGCCAGTTCTCCTCTGTGCAGTCCTGAGGAATGGGGGCCACAGCCAGGGCCCAGACCCCGGAGGGTAGAATCTGTTCTCGAGAGCACTGCGGGGGCTCACCGCCCAGCCTGCCTCCTCTCAGGGTCCTCTCCAGTCCCCATTCTAGACGCAGGGATTTTGCAGGCTCCCTGGATGACTGTCAAAGCAGGCAGGTTATTCTCTGGTCCCAACTACCTGCCCACAGGATCTCCAAAGACCCAGGAACTGCCACAGGTTAGAAGAGAACAAGGTCCCAAGGGCATGATGGGCAGGCAGATGGTTCCAGAGCCTTAGAGATTCATAGGTTCTTCCTCCTCCACCAGCTGCTCCGAGGGCCTGCAGGGAAGGACAAGGGTGGGATGCTGGAGCGCCAGGGCTGCAGGAAGGGCCTTAGCCCAGCTTCCTCAGCCCTGGTCAGGAAGCCTGGGAGGGTTGGGATGGCTGTATAGGGGATCTGGGGTCTTCAAGCAGGGAGGAATGACGCGGAGAGGCCGTGGGCCCGGGGCCAGGGTCTGGCATTACCTGTCTTCAGCCAGGATGCCCACAGAGAGGGATGCCAGTGCGGTCACTGCCTCTACTTCTTCTTTGTCAGCTCCTGGCACCCTAGGCACCCAGGAGTCTGGACAGGAAGCCAGGCGCTGCATGCATCCCCAGTATTTACCTGAGGTCAGACACCGGGTCAGAAAGGGTTGGAGAAAGCAGGCCCCTCCACACTGCATCCTAGACCAGATACTGAGGTTGGTGTCTCAGGCCCAGGGCCCCAGAGTAGCGGGCCTGTCCTCCACTTGGGGTTGGCTCTCCCACCTGCCCCTCGCCTCACTTTGCCTGACAGGGTGAGGAGAGTGAGTTCAGCATGGCTGTGACGGTGCCGAGGTGCCCAGCCTTTCTCTCATCCCCTGTGGCTGCAAGGCCACCTCTGACTCATTCCCACCTCTGACTCTCAGGTGCGGGGCTCCTGAGAGCTCCAGGAGGGCCTGCTTGCCTGCAGACAGGGTCTGTGTGACAGTGACCTCCTGGAACCCCATGCCCAGGCCTCCCACTCATGCAGCCCTCACCAGTGCCCAGCCCAGCACTCAGGAAAGGAGGTAGGAAGAACACCACGTGAGAGAGCTGACTGTCACCATGGCCGCTCTGCATGCATGCCCAGGCCAGAAGAATGCTGCTCTTGCCTGCTGCTGTGAGGAACCATGTCCTGGAACCTGGCTCAGTGTGAGGGCACCCCCCGTAAGAGGAATCTGTGGTGCTTTTACCGTTACATAAAGACATAATGGCTCCCCTACCCAGCCCTAGATGTGGGAATCTATTTTATTCATTTTGTATCCCCAGTATAGATTATGGGTCTTTACATAAGATCCTCAATAGATGCTGAGTTGAAGTTGAAAATTTAAACTACTCTACAAATGTAGGGGTTATCCCAAGACCCAGCCCCCAAGCTGGCAGAGTTCCTGAGATCCTCATGGCCAGGACTGAGGGGAGGGATGGGAACCAGGCCTTTTGGCAAACAAGGCCATGAGCGTTGCTGTTGACCTGGCTCTGGTCTAGGGCTGTAGCTAGCGATGGAGGCCAGTCCCTTCCTTGAGGGGCCACGGTCTGGTGGGCCCTTCTGGCTCCATTGGGAGGGCTCAGAAGATACCCCCTCATTGAGGGGTGCCCACCTGGGTCACTCACAGGAATCTTACTCCAGGCCAACAGCAGGTCACCTGGCTGGCATGGAAAGCCCTAGGACTCTGGCCACTGGGGGGCAGGGTACCACCAAGATCCTTCAGTCTGAGCTTAGTGAATGTCCCATCGCCAGACTTACTGTGCACCCGGATCACGGCCTCCAGAGAGCGGATGGCATTGAGGTTGGGTTTCTGTTTCCAGCCTTCTTCTGAAACGGGATCCAACTACAGAAAACAGTACATCAGCCACGAGTCTCTCAGGGACCCACAGGCCCAGCTCATTCCCACCCCAGGGGCTCTGGCCTTCTGGGCACAAGCACGCTTGACCTAGGTCGGGAGATGCTGCCTGGACCCAACTTGGAACGGAAGCTTCCGCTTCACCTACCTTGTTTCAGGCCTGGCCACTCTGACCCTGTTCCATCCCCTGTCCCATCCCATCTGCCTGCTCTTTGGGTAGTCCTGGGAGAGCTGGGCTTACCTGCCTGACAGAAGCATGGAGTGGGGAGGGAGCCAGCTCACCTTGTTGCCCAGAAGAGCAGCCACACAGGCCTCAGAGGCATCACAGATGGCTGTGAGGTCATGGCCACCCTCCAAGGCCAGCACCACTGCACCTCCTGCCAGGCTCATCAGCTGCTGTGTCATGTACCCAAAACCTAGAGGTTGGGTGGGGGGAAACAGGAGGGGCGGGAGTGGAGAGGTGGCCCCATTCTCTACCCCTGTGGCTTCCCTGCTTGCTTCCTCCCTAATAATGACTCACGTGTATCAATCACTATTTCCAAAGTGCTTTCACATTGAATCTCATGCAAAACCTACTAGCATGCTTCACTCAAGGCTCAGGGAGGTTAAGGGCCTTGGGAAAGGTCCCACAGCTAGTAAGTGGCAGCAAGGCAGGACTTCAGCTTGAGCCATTGACTCTAGCCTGGGTCTTTTTCACTGAGCCACACCCTCTCCTTTTTCTGTCCTCTGGGCCCTGTGGCCCAGTGGGCTGAGTGGGCGCCTTCTACTCTGAGAGTGCTGCTCCTCCCTCCCCTTCCTCTGGAGGAGCTGCCAGCCCACCTAGAATCAACTCAGCTGGGGTGGGGAGTCCCATGGCTGAGCTTCCTGCCTACTGGACTTAAGTCTCCATAGGTAGGACCTGGTCAAGCCTTCCTTGGTGAACCGGCCTGGTCCTGAGAAAGGGCCTGGGCTGTGCTTGGCTGGGAGATCCCAGGGAATTTCAGGACCAGCTGCCATAATCCAGTCCTCAGGCTGAAAGTCCTGGGCTGGCCACTGCCACCTTCCCCTTTCGACTTGGGAATGCCTCCCCCCACCCCCCTACTGCCTGGCTCTCGGTTCCTATACCTCCCCCTCAGCTGAGCCTCCCTTACATTTGGCAGAAACATGGTAGCCACCCAGCGGGGCCGGGTGGCCCTCAGCAGCATCAAACCCAGCAGACACCAGGACCAGGTCTGGAGAGAACTCTCGGGCGATGGGCATCACAACTATC